AATTAATAGACATTTGTTATGCAGGGCTTAAAATTCAATACATAATTTTAGTGAAGCACTCAGAGATTGTTTTAATGTTTTAAGACCTAGGCGCTAATCTATGACTTAAGCGCCGGTAATAGTTTCGGATCTGAGTGGTTGTTTCCAAGATTTGAAGTCAGGCGGGAGATTAAAGGTAATTAAACAAATTGTAAAACATCGTAAAATTAACACATTGTCTTATAATGGATAATGGTATCTTTATAAATAAAAATAACATTGAATATTTAAAAAAAATGTACATAGAGTTTTGAATTTTTATTATTCCATGAATAAAAAGTATTGAAATAAAATTATAGGTCGATAAAAATATTTAAGTTCTATTCAGAATATTAAAATTTTAATAGTGGATAGAAATTCAAAAGTCAGCATTTCAAATTTACAATTTCATTGGTACCCGCACTGGGGATTGAACTCGGATTGGTCGATTACATTGAATTAAAGCGAGTCGAGAACAATGACTTATCACGTCTAATAATAATAAAGTAAATATAATAACAAAGTATTTGTTATGCAATCTCAAAGTATTACATTTTATTTATTATATATTAGAAATACCTCTCCGTCATCTCATCTGATACAGTGCAAAGTGCCATGAAAATAAATTGAACGATAAAAGTTTTCTTGCGTATTCCTCGAATAATACTTAAAAGAGTTACAGTCTCTTGGGTACTACAATGAAGACGCCGACTAAAGTGGCTTCAACCCCGAAGACTATTGTAAAAACACATCTTTATTCAAAAGCAATTGTACGAACTTTTAAGCATGCATTACTTTATTTACTTTTGTTTTTAACTTTCATTTTGTTGTATATATTTATATATATATACATGTAAAGGAAGTACAATCTACATAATCTATTTACTAGACTGTTGGCCGTTCATTGTGAATTCCCAAAATGTTCACAATTTTGATAATAGAACACGATACATTAAAATTTATTTTTTGTATAGTGCGAAACTCTTTACGAAAAGAGTTTATTTTAAATTTCAAATTTTCTTTCAAAAGTAATCTTTTTTTCTTATTGTATATGTGTGCGTGGCTGCGTCCGCGCCCCGATATTGTTGACAAATTAAAGCCAGTGCGTTGACAGCTCTTGAGTGTTTCACTAGTCCCTGTGCTCCGTACTTCGAACATAACATTGGCGACGAGGACTACCCGCGTTAAGTAAAAAAAAAAAAGAAAAAAATGTCGTTCAGCTGTGGGACGTTACCAACGTTTAACCATGAAATACAAGCATGGAAAATATTTAGAACACGAATTACTCAGTGGTTCATTGCGAATGACATAAATGTCTCAAGCGATGCCGCAGGAGTAAAACGTCGAGCGATACTGCTCAGCGCACCCGCCGATGATACGTTCAAGCTAGCCTCGGATTTGGTCGTACCAAAGGATCTACAAGAAGTACCGTTCGAAGATATAATGGCCATATTGGATACCCATTTCACGCCGAAGCAGATTGGGTTTAGCGAGCGCCATAATTTTTATGCTGCCATACAACAAGCGAACGAGTCACCATCATAATGGGCCGCTAGGTTACGTGGTCTGACTGCTCATTGCCTATTTTCTGACGTGGAAATAGCACTAAGAGACCGGTTTATCATGGGTATGCTGCCGGGAGCTGAAAAAGAAAAGTTGTACACACAAGGTATTTCGGGTAGGACATTGGCGAAAGCTGTGGAGTTAACGGAGAACATAAGGTGCGCGCGAGCGGTTGCCGCAAGTGCCACCACCGCTGCTGCCGTCACTGAAATCACCGTAGATCAGCTGTACAAGATCGGTCAAGAATCTAAGAGCGTATGTTCTCTTCAAAAGTGCACGGTGTGTGGCTACACGAGCCACGTTGCTGCGGATTGTCGTTTCGCGAATTACAAATGTAAAAAATGTAATAAGAAGGGACACTTGCGGAGAATGTGTAAGGAAGTGAACTACATAAATACGAGTGAGGCCGATGAGGAAGGTGACGATGGTAAGTTATTCAATATACGATCGGTTAGGGGCGAGTCTTTAGTTCAAACGGTGACGGTCAACGGCATAGATTTAAAATTTAAAATCGATAGCGGGTCGGCAGTGACGGTTATTTCGGAAAATACGTATAACTCATACTTTAATGACGTGCCATTATCATTTACGAAAAGAAAGTTAGTGAGCTATACGGGGGAGAACTTAGGTTGCGCCGGCCGCGCCCGGATGGCGGTTCAGTGGCAGGGGCGAACATGTATACTAGATGTTTACGTAGTTCGAAATGGCGGCCCGCCACTGCTCGGTAGGGATTTCATTGCACAATTTGAACTTCAATTGACACCAATTCAATATTGTAAACAAATAAAAAATGAAATCGAATCGCTTCATTTACATTACCCCAGAGCGTTTTCGGGGGAACTAGGATGTTTTAATAAGTATGAAGTAAAGCTGACTTTGAAAGAAACAGCTAAGCCATTTTTTTTCAAGCCGCGTCCTATTGCGTTCGCTTTAAGAGACAAAGTAGATAATGAATTAAAAAGATTAGTCGACCTAGGAGTACTTCGTCCCGTAAATTATTCGGAGTATGCGTCTCCGATTGTACCCGTTTTAAAACGCGATGGGTCTGTCAGAATTTGCGCAGATTTTTCAGTAAGTTTAAACAAACAGCCGTGGATCAGTATCCTTTACCGACGGCTAATGAACTTTTTTCAAAACTATACGGGGGTCAGTATTTCACAAAGTTAGATCTCTCAATGGCCTACAATCAGTTTTGTTTAAATGAGGAATCACAAAAGTTAACGTGTATTAATACTCATCGTGGTTTATATGCGTACACACGTTTAGTCTTTGGACTAGCCAGTAGCCCGGGCATTTTCCAACGTGCCATGGAAAATGTGCTTGCGGGATTGAACGGCGTACATTTTCTGCTCGATGATATTCTCATAACCGGCCGCGACGATAAGGAACACTTAGATATCCTATCTACACCAGGTATTACAACGATTACAAGACGCGGGCTTAACGTTACAGAAAAGCAAATGTAATTTCTTTAAAGATGAAATTAGTTACCTGGGATATGTTATAAATAAAAACGGACTAAAGAAGTCACCAGAAAAGGTTAAAGCCGTACTAGAAGCGCCAATGCCCACAAATATAAGTCAGTTGCAGTCGTTTTTGGGCTTAGTTAACTATTATAGATGCTTTATTCCAAACGCATCTTCGATTCTATGTCCTCTTTATCAATTATTAAAAAAAGAAACAAAATGGCAATGGTCTAAGTGCGAAACGGAAGCGTTCAATAATATAAAAAAAATATTATCTTCAAAGCAGGTTTTAGCGCATTTCAATCCAAATAATACCATTATACTTACGGTGGACGCATCGCCTAATGGGTTAGGTGCGGTTTTATCGCAAAAGGATAGTGCAGGTATTGAAAGGCCAATTTCGTTTGCATCATGGACATTAAATAACGCCGAAAAAAAGTATTCGCAAATACAAAAAGAGGCAACGGCTATTATATTTGGAGTGCGGAGGTTCCATCAATACTTATATGGAAGGTCTACACCTTTTATACTACGTACGGATCATAAGCCTTTATTATCAATTTTCGGGCCTTACAAGGGAATTCCAGAGATTTCGGCAAATCGATTACAACGATACGCGTTATTTTTGAGCGGCTACAGTTATTCTATAGAATATGTTAAAAGTGCCGATAACTGTGCGGACTACTTGTCGCGCGCTAGCCTCTTACACGGCGCCGCAGCGATAAGCGCGGAGGGCGCGGGGGACGCGGGGGGCGCGGGGCGTACAAAGCCCGCCGGCCTCGATGACCGCGCAGCATATGTTTGTTTTGTTGTTAAGGGCGCGTTGCCTATCACGTTACAGGCGTTACGGGATGCAACGAACAAAGATGTCATATTAAAAAAGGTTGTACATTATATTTTAAGCGGATGGCCTAAAAAGGTTAGTGACCCTGAGATCAAACCTTATAGTATGTGCAAGCGGGAACTTTCATATGAGAATGGTTGCATTATGCGTGGTCATAAAATCGTTCTCCCTGACTCGTTACGGAATAGTGTTATTTCAGAGTTACATACATCGCACTTAGGCATTGTTAAGACAAAAGCTGAAGCACGCGCCCGGTTTTGGTTTCCCGGCATTGACGGTGTCCTTGAACGCATGATTGGCTCTTGTGAAATATGTATGCAACTTCGAGCATCGCCACCAAGTGCTCTTATTTCACCATGGAAGTACCCCACTCAACCCTTTCAACGCGTACATCTTGATTTCCTTGGCCCATTGAACGGACTTATGTATTTAGTGATCGTAGATGCGTACTCCAAATGGGCCGAAGTATGTAATATATAATACTCCTGTTCCTCCACCGCAGTTATTGATAAAATTTATGAGTATATGGCGAGATTCGGGTTGCCAGAAACAATAGTGACTGATAATGGGGCATCATTTTGTTCGCGTGAATTCTTAAATTTTTGTAAGCTTAATGGAATCGCACATGTTACGTCACCCGCTTATCACCCTGCAAGTAATGGACAAGCTGAGAGTTATGTTAAAATAATAAAAAAGGGTATTAAATCAGTTTGTTAAGCAGTAGCAATATTAGGGAGTGTAATTTAAATTTACAAAAGTACATTTTTGATTACCGAAATTCTGTCCATTCTACGACGGCTTTATCTCCGGCACAAATAGTTTTTGGTCGTAAATTAAGATCGCGGTTAGATATATTAAAACTAAGACCACCGCCGCCCCTATCAGCCTCACTCGCCAACGCGGTCAAGTCAAAACAGTGTTAACAGGTTAAATCACAGGGGGGGAAACAAAAAGTGTTTTCACTAGGAGAAAACATTCTATATAAAAAATATTATAATAAAGATAAATTTAAATGGTGTGAAGGTATAATTGTGCGTAAACTTGGTAAAATTTTGTGTTTAATAAGAGACTCTTTAACTGGTAGTTTTGTAAAAAAACATGTAAACCAAATGTTGGTACATAAAGGCATAGTTAGTGTAAATAAACCTTGGGAGTCTGATATTCAATGCCCTGATGACCAAGAAGGTTCAGCACCGACACATGCATCACTGTTGCCCACTGCCACACTGTCACATGCGCAAACCAATGAGCAAGACTGCGTCCGTGAGGAGGAAGAAGGGCAGAAAGATACAGTGACACCTACACTGGCGGCTGATTCTTCTGCGGAGAACGTGACACCCCTTGGCGATAACTCCCAACAATTACTTTCACCAGAGCATGTCACAATAACGAGGGGAGTTCGGCGACCACAGTATTCGGATGATGAAGAAGACATGGCAGAGGCTGACAGGATATCACGGGCACAGGAACAACGAAAGTTTCCGAAACGAAATCGTCCTAAGGTTGATTACAAAAAGATCTTTTAGTAGGTCATGTTTGTGTAACGTAATAACCTTAGTATAAGGGGGAGGAATATTGTATATGTGTGCGTGGCTGCGTCCACGCCCCGATATTGTTGACAAATTAAAGCCAGTGCGTTGACAGCTCTTGAGTGTTTCACTAGTCCTTGTGCTCCGTACTTCGAACATAACAATACTTACTCTCTTTTTCAACTGAAACTTATATTAATAATTTAGATTTTAACGCAAGCTCGCGGTATCGTTACTTTGTCTTTATCATCTTCCAATAAAGCATTGCATAATTCCTAGAAGTGAAAAAAATAATGCCAACATTGAAAAAAGAAATAAAATTGAAGGTTGAACATTATTATTTCAGTGTCAGATTGTTGATATCATCTTAACAACATATTATTGATTTCTTATTTTTACGCGAATATAAACGCTGGAAAGGGTTCGAATTGTCGGGAATTTAAAAACCTAATTAAACGCGATAAAATTCGTAAAATATTTTCATATCAAAAACATATTATATTATCTCAACATATTGTCAAACTTTTTAACCTTCCGATTTGACAGAGTATAGAGAATGTTACGAATAATAATAACAATAACAGGCGTAGGGAAGTGACGACCCCATCGCCCACCGGCGTAACAGTTCAAGTGACAGAACTGTTGCGCCGGCGCAATCAGTCAGTGCCTTGCCAATAGGTGTTTGCACCGTGCCTTGGCATAAGTGAGGGTGCATAGGCCCGTCTGTGCGTTCGGCCACACTACAGAAAACGGTGCCGGTCTGGGGGTGTCTTCCGTTAAACGACGCCCTAAAAATGGATGATGGAAAAAAGAAAGGAAAGCGCATAGGGCCGCTACCTGCGGGCCGCCAGGGCGCGTCTGGAGCTGGCGCTGGACGTGGCAGCATGCGGGACGCCAGCCAAGCGCGGGGTACTGCACGACCACCAAGCAGTACCTCGCATCCATCATCCCCACCAGTTGGCTTGGTGTCGGCAGGATCCTCTCGGATCCAGCAATCGGCACCCGCCGCTGGTGGAATACGCCGCTTGCGCTGGACTGAAGATATGAATAGGAACGCAATGCGGGCGTATCTTAGGGCGAAAGTGAGTGAGACTGGAGGGTTTGCGTATCGGGCAAGGATGCATCGCTTTTTTGCTGAGCTGGAGCCATCTATAACCGTCACCGAGCAAAACCTGGCAGACCGAGTTCGGTACATCATGCACTCAAAAATATTTGATGATACCGAGCTCGAACGACTACGACGTGAGGCTGTTCCCTCATCGGATGAAAATGTAGTGGCTGGGGATACGGCCCCGCAAGCTGCGGACCCTGCAGGGTTACAAGCAGATGCGGAGGCCGCGGTTAACCCCCCGGCTCCTGTAGATTCGTGCGATGATGGAATAGTCGCCCAAGAAATAGAGCAGATGGGAAGCATATTGGAGGAGGCAATTCTGGAGGTGCGTGAAACGCCTCTCGAGAGTCGACCACGTCTCCCCCGCATACCCCTAAGTAAGCGGAGTCGGTCTGTCGTTAGGTCTCTTAACCCGATGCTGGCAACGTATTTGGAAGCTAGCCGGGATCTTTGCGATACGGACTCAATTCTCTTTGGCGCTGCACTGGCAGTATGCCGAATCGTTGGCGCCAAACTTCCCAAGGCTGGACGTGCTACCAGACCAGGTAGCACTATCCCAGCATGGAGAAGAAGAATTGAGGACCGTATCACAAAGGTAAGGGCCATCATCGGCAGGCTGATAAGCTTGAGGTTGGGCAATAATAGGCCCAGAATTGTGCGCACCGTTAGGATGGCGTTCGCTGGGACCAACATAAACTTGTTCCAGCCGGATATTACGCAAAAACTAACGGAGCGCATAGATGACCTGAAGCAGAGGATCGCTGCTTGGGGGAAGCGGATTCGGAGATATTCCGAGAGGATGGCGCGGTTTAGCCAGAATCGCCTCTTCCAGAGTGACCAAAAGAGGCTCTACAAATCTTTGGAGCGACCAATGAGTTGTGGAACGGGCCAAGGACCGGACCAGGCAGACACTGTCGCCTTCTGGCGCAGCCTGTGGTCAGAGCCCGTAGACCACAGTGAGGGCCCTTGGACACAAGTCGTGGCGAGCCAATGTGCAGACATTACACCCATCGACCCCGTCGTCATAACACCCGACGACGTATCCGAGGCAGTCCGTAGAGCCCCGAACTGGAAAAGTCCGGGACTCGACGGGCTGCATCACTACTGGCTGAAGGGGTTCGTGGTGTGTCATGCTGTGCTCGCCCGGCAGTTCCAAGAGGCTCTCGATCAGAGGTCGCTCCCGAGCCTCTTTACTACTGGGGTCACTCATTTGGTTCCTAAAGATCAGGTTACCACAGACCCGAGTAAGTACCGCCCCATTACGTGTCTACCTACCATCTATAAGACACTGACATCTATTCTGAGTATGAGAATCACCCGGCATATTAATGTGAATCGGATTATGTCTCGTACTCAGAATGGATGTCGGGGCGGCGGTCGTGGAACCAAGGAACCGCTTCTCATCGACGCGGTCATTGGTAAAATGGTTAAACGCAACCGTCGGAACCTCTCCGCCGCCTGGATAGACTACAAAAAGGCATTCGACTCGGTGCCCCATACATGGCTAAAGAGGGTCCTCGAACTGTACAAAGTAGACTGTACAGTAAGAGACTTCCTCGAGCACTGTATGGGGCAATGGAGTACGATCCTTTGTCATCTAGGCGAGCGGATGACGGCTGCGGAATACCGGATAAGGATACGACGGGGTATTTTCCAGGGCGACTGTTTGAGTCCAATATGGTTTTGCCTCTCCCTGAATCCTCTCAGCGTATTACTGGAGGGCTCGGGGGGAGGATTTCAGCTTCGGAGAGGAGGGACAAAAGTGACCCACCTTTTCTACATGGATGACCTCAAGTTATTCGCCTCCAATCGCTCCCATTTGATGGAATTGCTTAAAGTCACTTGTGATTTCAGCAATTCTATCAAAATGGAGCTCGGGACGGATAAGTGTGCGGTCCTTCATGTCGAAAGGGGTAAGGTCAATAATACAGCGGGCATAGACTTATCTATGCCCGTTAACATAAGGACCCTCTCTGAGGCTGAAACATACCGATACCTGGGTATGTCACAAAACATGTGTATCGATGAGGCTGGCATGAAACAGTTAGTTCGTGATGTGTTTTTTGCACGCCTGACAAAGGTGTTTGACAGCCATTTGTCAGGCGTGAACAAGGCACGCGCATTTAACGGCTGGGTCATGCCAGTCCTCATGTATACCTTTGGCATACTCAGGTGGACTCAAACTGAGCTCAATGCCCTGGACCGAAAAGTCCGCACAACTATGACGTCCCACAGAATGCATCATCCGAGATCTTCAGTGATGAGGCTGTACCTGCCGCGGAAGCATGGCGGGAGGGGCTTTTTGAGCGCCCTTACCATGCACAATCGCGAGGTGTGCAGCCTCCGCAACTACTTCCTGGCGAGATCGGATGAGTCAATCTACACGGACGTCATTAGTTGTGATAAAGGACTTACCCCTCTATCCTTAGCCAACGAGCAATGGCAGGACCCGGGAGTACTCAGCGTTTCCGACCGAGAGGCCGTATGGAAGGAGAAAGAGCTCCACGGGAGGTTCTACAAGGCTCTACACGAGCCTTTCGTAGATACTGTTGCCTCCCTTAACTGGCTACGTTTCGGTGACCTCTTTGGGGAAACCGAAGGTTTTGTCTGTGCGATACAGGATCAGGTTATTAAGACGAACAACTATCGGAGATACATCCTAAAGGATGGCACCGTCGACATCTGTCGAGCTTGTCGCCATCCCGGGGAGTCGCTTCGGCATGTTATCTCCGGTTGTTCCATGCTTTCTAACTCTAAGTATCTGCATAGACACAACCTAGTAGCCAGAATCCTACACCAGGAGCTCGCTCTGAAATACGGCCTCGTGGAACGGAAACTGCCGTATTATAAGTACTCTCCGGAGGCCGTGCTCGAAAATGACCGCGCCAGGCTCTATTGGGACCGGTCCATCATTACGGACAGGACGATCGTCGCGAACAAACCTGATATCGTGTTGATGGACCGGGCACAGTCGCGGGTATTTTTGGTCGACATTACCATTCCATATGACGAGAACCTTGTGAAAGCCGAAATAGATAAAAAGACGAAATATCTGGACCCGGCTTACGAGGTGATTGACATGTGGGGTGGTGTGTTGACTGAAATTATCCCGATAGTCGTGTCTGCGAATGGGTTGATCTCAGTCAGCCTCTCCGAACATCTGAGGTGACTGGGACTCAGGGACGGAACGCTCTAAGCTTAAATTCAGAAGGCGGTGCTCCTCGATACCGCCCGCATTGTCCGCCGGCCCTCTCCCTTTCACCCTAACCCTCGGCCGTTTGGTCTCCCCTGCCGAGGGCTTCCGTCTGGTTGAGTCCTATTAATACGAGTATATATGTATTATATACAATATTTATATCTATATGTTTATTTTTATTTATAAACCCAACCAGACGAGAAACCAAATGAATATTCCCCCATAATATTAATATTCTTTTCTTATATTTTAACATAACACTACCAAGATGGCGAATTAAATTTGACCCTATTATTTCACATAATCGTCAAATTACGTTGCTTTTTACTGTGATTAACATTTAGAAAAGGCAATAAAATAATAAAGTCTGTAGTGATGTAAAAGTTTTTAGGTCGAAGTTAGGAATTTATTCCTCAACACTGTACAGTGCAGGAAGTAAGTACCAACTATTTCACATTAAGTTTTAAAATATGTACGTTATATTAACGAAGTTCCTTACAACTTGAGTTAATTACAAAAGCGAAGTGAAAAGGCGCCTCAGACAGACTAATAATTTTAATGGCGAAAGATAGAACTGAAATCAAAAGTTCACAGTAGCGTGTGGTAGATAATTATATTGGCGTACATTTATGTTACGCATAAGGAATGGTTTTTAATAAATGATATTGACAATTCTTTATTTTTCAC